GGCTCCGCCATCCTCATTCCCGCTTGTTTCATCCACCATTCCATTCCACAGTCGCTCTACGGCGCCTCAATCCGGGTTCCGCCGTGATGCATCCTCGTTTTCTGTTGACAGCTACCGACATGTACTAACGGTATCTACCTACTTAGCCAAGCTACCTACACATTGACTCTCCTCTGGCCGGGCGAGCATTCTGACCCCTCTGACGGACGAGCTAGTGTACAACTAATTGCCTGGACAGGACCTACTGTCATGCAAGGCTGGTTTGTCTTGCTCTTGTCACTCAAATCCTGAGAACGGCACAGTATTAATGGTGAGCGACACGTACCTAGGCGGCACGTACAATGGACCACCCAATGACACCATCGAGACCTTACGTACGTGAGCTAGCCTTGGAAAGACACAGCTAAACAAGTTCGGACGCCTCACATTTCTTGTCATCGGCGATGAGGCTGGAATGAGACAGAGCTAGTATCATGAACGGGACAAGACAAGCTTCGAGAAGCCCTTGAATGTTCGTTCTGGAAGCAATGCCGTATACAATAGATAGCCAGGCAGGCTTACCCGCAAGACATGTTTTTGCCGTGGTCCGCCAAATGTGACGGAGTGAAGCAGATAGCTAGGTACTGCCCTCGCATATCCTGTCGTGATCGAGTGCCTATCGACAGGAGCCTTCCCAATCGAGATATCGAGGGGCGCTTAGCTATCCCTTTCCTCTTACCCTTTCTTGACCATCCATCTCCATCAATACGTGTTTTATTGCCGAGCCTTACCTCTAAGGTCGATGTGACTCACGCTGGGTTGAACCAATCTCTTGTATGGTACCATAGGTAGCTTCGTAGGTACCTACTTCGGCACCACACCTCGCTAAATGTTGCAAGGTCCTATCTATAGGCTGTTCATGGGCATGTATGTATATACGCAGATGTAGTGTACTGACTACGGAGCACACTAGGTTAGGTATGTGTGTAGGTAGTCTCTGAAAGGTGATATATCCATGATACAGTGCAGAGTATCACCCTGGGCAGGTGTAGGACAAGGCACACACCATACGGCAATATCCTTAAGGCAAATTAGTGCACATCTGTGCTCGAATTAGTACCTAGTATTGCACATTCCTGACGTGAAAAAAAAAAAAGTGCTCGTTTGGATTTTGCACCGACGTCTCTCGGCAACTCTACTACGATACCACCCAACTTACACTAGGCGAATGAGTCAATTGGTAGGCAGACATCCCGTTGCATTGCTAGGTAGTTGGACTTCTTCCCAAGCGACGCTGTACTTGCTCAAAAATAAATAATTATTTTTTTAGAGCTAGAGATTTGCTCGGTGAAGGAAAGCTGCCAAGCTTTCATCCCCATAGATAACCGAGCAAGGCAGATGGACTAGGGATGACAGGCGTCCACAAGCAGGGGTATAGTACGGTACTAGCCCTCAAGTAGAGAAACTCCCAAGAGATCCATGTACCTACCTGTGTTGCGATATTCCCACACCCCGAGACTAAATGCTGCGACTTGTTAAGTCGACGCCCAAGGACTTGTGGTTTTCACGTCTCCCCCCACTCGAACCAAGATTCATAAACATTGCATAAACAGCCGATGGGGCTTTATACAATATACTACCGGGTATGTCTTGAGTGTTATTGGCCAGTGGTCTCTTCACGATACTGAGTCGATACAGGGTCAATACACTACCGATAGACCAGGAAGTTCATCAATAAAGATGCTAAGGCTACCAGATTGATGAGCAAGCCGGCTCTGCTAAGAGTAAAGAAACTCTTGAGTCGTCACAGAGAATAATACCTCGGAATGTACCCCCACGGCTTACCTAAGTTCCCATTCCGTCCCCGTCCTGTCTACGGTAGCGCAATCCACTGCGATACATGCGCTACATCCGCCGGCCACTTCGCCCAGAAGTCCGCGTATTCAGGTTCGTCACTTATCGGGTTCGGTGAGCATGGCAGCATGCTGAGCGAATTGTTGCCTATGACGAATAATGCAGTTCGCGAGGCACTACTTGCATCTATTTGCTTGCGGCGCTTTTCACGGTCTGTTCCAAGGGGCCTCGGAGCAGGCAGGGCCTCGTCAACCCGGGCCAGTAAAAGGTCGCCAGGTCGCAGATGGGGGGCGGCGGCGGCGGCGGCCCCCAGTTGATCCGCAGGTACAAATCGTCAGAGGACGGGAATTTTATTGAGAGGTCCCTCTCAGGGCAACAGCGTCTCCATCGTGAATCCTACAGCTGCCATGTGTTTGCATGTGGCCCTGACATTTGCGATTCTCCCTGAGGCCCGCGGTTGAGTACACGACACGATAGTAAACAAATCTTCCCAGGCCGATCCACTACCGGTACCCCCTATCTTTATTTTAGTCTGCTGTTTTCCAGGTTGCGCAGCATTGCATCGTCAAGTCCGACGGTTGACTCAGGGCAAGCGAGAACCCTGCCAGTAGGTAGTCCCACACTGATAGAGATTCAGGTCCCTCATCGCAAGCGATTGAGATAGCTCTCTTAGTACACGCTACGCCATGCTTGCGCGGGTAAGAGACTCTCTAATTTAAATAGGTAGTGTAGACGCGCGCGAGTGGGCCAATGTATTTTGCCCTTGCTCCTCGTTTACTACTTTTGATAAGCAGTCTACACAGAGTTGCCTCAAAATAGCAAGGCCTGACGAAGTGAGGCCATGTTACCCGCTGCACAGCTAGTGTCGGCTACCTACTGTAAGGTCCTTTCGCTACCTTTCTTTCCGAGGCTCGATATGTTGAGGATCGAAGCTATTCGGCATCTATCGGGAGGGTGAGCTTCTATTGGCCGCACTACCCGCGATGTGAATTATGGTACGCTACTTGCGTACAGCTGATACTGTTGCGCATACTGGATTGCTGGCCTACGGGTGTCCCCGGGTGGATGAACTGGCCTCTTGAAGAGGACAATGTCACCCTCCACATGTCTACTGCTGCTCTGGCAGGGCACAGCGGGATCGAATTACTATGGTGGGGTGTTTCTTCCGAAGGGTGTGAAGTCCCTCTGGTTGAGATCTGTCACCATGTGCGAACGAAGGCAAGCCAAAGCCCACCAGAATGACGACGACCAGTCACCCAAGGGAAGAATGGAAGTGGATTTTCCCCGGACGATGGTGGATGCAGAATGATAAGGGTTGTGAATGATTTACGGCACTGATCAGCTTGTTTACTACTCACGATGTTACCCTGTTCCACCTCCGTTCACGCAAGCAGATGCAGAATGAGAAACAGATGATACGCTGATCTCCAACAGGAGCCCTCGTCGGACACGGCGACAGCGAAGGAGCGCAGTAGTGGTTCTAGTTGTTATGAAACCTCTCATTAACTCACAATCCGCCTGGTTGATATTCCATTAATCAATATGAACTGCCCTTTGTACAGTAGCATCCATTTCTACGCCATATTGTTGCATCTATCTACAAGTATGTGCCATGCAGGGGGCGCTGCGCGGAATACGACGTCCTGAGGAGCCAAACGACGCACCCTCTCTACCTGTTCATGCCGTCATCCCCTTGCAAGTGCAGTAGGGCCCGCGGCTACGTCCATTGCAACCTTCTCTCCATAATATATCTCTATTTCGCGGGGGGATCACAAGAGATAGACCAAACACAAGCGAAAGGCATGATAGTAAATGTGTAGTAGCAGACTGATAACGCCCCCAGGTCGCCACCGACGAAGACACGACACGGAAACCGAGATATGGGGCAAAAAAAAAAAAATTTTCCCTCAAACTTCCGAGTACAGATCACATAATTATGCCACTGAAATCTCAGGTTTAATCTACGCTGTCTATATACCTAACCTACCTTGGCCTTACTGCCCCCAAACCCTAGTATGAGGATTTATTTTAAAATCGAGATATACTTATGAGATCTTGGTAGAAGAACCAATAGATGGCGTCCGGGGAATTTTTTTCCCATGTCCTGAGATCAGACCGGAGAGGAAGGAGGAGTCATTCGATCGTCAGACGAGAGGTGTAGCGTAACATCGGCCCAAAACCTCCCCTCGTCACAGGGTAGGGGATTGCCGAGGATCGTTCGATGACACACATACATTGTATCTACTTAGACTATAGGTATACATACTTATACATGATATACCTCCTTTAATTCTTGATGCTAGATCTGTTGAAATAAAATAAAATAAAAAACACTGAAACTTTCCTGCAGGCGATCTGAAAACCTTGAATAGTATGCAATCAGGCAGGGTATTCAAGCTCGAACGAAGCGAGTTAGAGGCACAGATGCAGATACGATCTGAACCCCTGGTACTGGCAAGAAAACCCTCCAAACAAGCTTCGAACCACGCCACTTTTCAACCCTGAATGCTCTCTGTGATGTGGTGTAGTTCGGTAGTGAAGGCAATATGTTGTGCACTAGTATAGTTCCTGAGAATCTCCGCCGGCCCTGGATCTCGGAGTTCATCATCACAAGTTCGTGCAAATTTGCTTCCCCAGTAGGATTTTACACGATGGCGCAGTGTTTGCCTATTCTGGCAATATCTCCTTGTCTCCCCCGTATTAACCTTAAAATTTGCACGTCTCTCATTGCTGCTAATTATGTCAGTTGAAAATTAACTTGTTTCCTCCCTGGCAATTTATCTCTATCCGATGTTCTGTATGAGCAGATACGAGGGATCGTCGCCGAGGTTGACGTCGTTATCTATCACGTCCTATTCACGCGAATTACCTACATACCTGTAAGTAAGGGTCGAGGGTTTAACTAGGTAGGCTATATGCACAGCTGACTATCATCTAATGTATATTACGTGCCGATAGGAGAGTGTGCATGAGGAGGGAGTGCAGCGTCTTGCTGACAGCGTCATTGCGGAATCTCCCGTTGGAGGCTTAATCGGCCGTCGGGGGTAGGTAAAATGCAAGACAAGGCAGATACTAGGTATGTAGATACACGGAACTGCACGAACGAACGAGACCATGTTCAAACCCATTCAAATGTACGTAGGGGTTGCATCACTTTTCGCCTGCCATGTACGTAGATAATTGTATATTGCGATAATATCGCTTGCCTTGCGGTACCTCACGTGCTAGACTGGTCCAGTCCGGTCACTCTGTCAGTTCACTTCAGATCAGTCATTGCGGTTAAATTTCTTCCTGGCCCCCCCCCCGCTTCCCATGAGGTTGCTTCGAGATCTTCCGGGTGTGGCTCCCCGGGCATGCACGACATCAAGGCTTCTTCTCGGAAACATGCAAGATGCGACAAGCGAAAGAGTAGGCAGATGATTTAGCCACAGGATAGAAAGGAGAGAACCGGCTCGGTGTGTCAACTACCCAGCAAAGAATGGCGACGCCCTTGCTGTATGTGTGTGTATATTTGCTTCTGTTATCGGCCGTGAATGTACCTAGGTGATATTCAAGCACGTCTGGTGTGCATCCAATGGAGGAGGTGAGGTAGGTGGATAGTAATTCACATACGTATACTCCCCTCCACAACGAAACCGTCGTCACAGATCGACGGTGACGCGGGAATAATGCGTCTATCCGGCTCTGCTGTACACCACCTTTATTGCTCGTCACGAGAATATATCACGCACCTTGTTGCGTGAGAGATGACAGGCTCCAAGACGGTTCAAGTCAGATCGACATACACAGATACACAGATACACACTCACACACATGTTTGCGAAAAGGTAGGCAAAGACGCGCACATACACAGCTCTCATTTACTTATACTAAGAGGATGGAGGGTATCAAAGCCCCTAGCGAGCACGTCCTCTCCGCCCGCCATCTCAAACTCGAACTCGAGATCAGGCTGCGCCTCGCGGTAAAGCACGTGCTTCTCACTGGCCATCTTGAAATTATACGAGGCCTCCTCGTCGCTGATAATGCGTTTCGGCAAGCCGTTGGCAGCGGCAGCCTCCACCTGGAGCTGCATGGCACAGGCGCGGTCCATGAGCCCAAACATGAACCCTGCCTCGTCAACGGTCGCGCCCACGGTCAACAGGCCATGATTCATGAGAATAACGCCCTTGTTGCTATCACCAAGGGCTGCGGCGATGTGCTCGCCTTCCTCCGCACCGAACACGATCCCACCATACCGCGCGTACACTGCGTGCGCACTGTGGAAGTTGCACACATCTTGGTTGAGCATCTCCAGGGGTCGCGCGAAGGCGCTCCACGCACGTCCTGCGATGGTGTGGGCGTGGCACACGGCGTGAACTGTTTGTTGACGGGGTTGTCAGTCACTTAGTTAGCTAGGTATGATCTCGTCTGAGTAGACATTTTGCCGTATCTCGGTCTGCACGTAGCCGTTCGGGCTGAGGAGATTCAATGATAACAAACATATCGTCATGCATTATTGCAGACTCCGCTGATCGGACGACAGACATAGAGCCAATCGGGACACATCGAACGCAGAACGAGGCAGATAGATAAAACAGATGGATAGATAAGCAAGCTTGAGCCACGGAAGTTGTAATCACGTACCGTCGCCTGGCCGCCTCTTGTGCACGGCCGAGTGGATCAGATAGCCAGCCGCATTCGCAGGTCGCGACGTATTACCACCAGCCACGCGACCCGACTCGATCTCGAGGCATATCATGTCGCCAGCCGTCAACATGCCGAAGTGTCGGCCGAGCGGATTCATCCACATCAGATCTGGGTATTCTGGGTCTCGCACCGATATGTGCCCGGATTGGCCCTCGGTAAACCCGCAGCGCGAAAAGAAGCGGAACGTCGCCGCCATGTGCGTCAATATGTGGCGTCGTTCGGCGCCAAATGTTGGGAAGCTCGGGATCCCTTTTCATACAGTGTCAGGCTCTGTTGGATGGCGACTCGTTGAAGCTGCTTTCGAGCCGGGCGTTTCGCTTACCTGGCATCACCTTTCCGTGTGAGATCGCCTATGGCCTGGGCGTCAGTATTATGCCAGCTATCATCCGCATACACAGAAAAGCGTAAGTATAGGTATACGAGGGTTCAATGCTCCCCGGGCAGCGAGTGATATTCGCCTAGGAAGTAATACAATCCCGAGGATGGCTTTCAATACGGGATGACTGACTTCTAAAGGAGTTGGCTGTGTGGCCTGCACAACCTGAGTTGTTGCTGAAGGTGCCATAGTCAAGACAGCTGAGAAGCTAGACAAACTAGATAGTCAATGAGCAAGACGCGCTACTTTGAACCACAGTCCAAGTTATCGTATTCCCTTCAATAGGCGTCCTTCTTCTATGAATTGTGTAGATGGAGGTGGGATATGATCCGTGACCCCCTGAGTTTTACCGCGCGCCCTAAGCTAGACATAGAATCTGCCTCTCCAACTATCTAGCGTCAATGTTCTTGCGGGGGTTCCGGAGAGTCCCACGTAACGTGGCGAGGCACCGTCTCCCCGCTTGTGGTCCGGGATCGGCAGTCGTCGGATTGTGTGGAGAGATCCAACGACATCCGGTCGTATCTTACCATTGGCATATCAGGTAAGTTGAGTTTAAGGGTTAACCCAATTTACACTACTCATATTGCTTTGCTTATAGCAACATCAGTCGGGCAGTGAAAAGGCTAGATTGTATACGTATCCCTATTTCACAATCATGTAGCATTGATTGATTATTTGCGAAGTTGCAGTCTACATATTGTGAAGAGACTGAGGTTAATATGCGCAGCTCCCAAGCCTAATACTCGCGGTTTCTTATGGAAGAACGATGCGACACCAGTATCAGGTGAAAATGAAAGTAAACTCCGCTGCTTTGTACTGCTTAGTTCATATATTTCTTACCTTCCAGGACAATGCTCGTGATAACTCCGGGAGGCCTCGATTTCGTCTCTGGTCTCAGTAACTGACACAGCATCGGATTAATCCGTTTGATCGATATCCTTCTGAAATCTCCTGGCCTTGCTCAGATAGAGAATACTCCCATGTAGCTAAGCCTCCTTGTCAATGCTGCAGGCATGGGAATACCCTGTCATAGTCGTTATGCAACAGGTTTCTCCGAAACCTTTGTGCTTAGCCTCAGGCTATATATGTAGTGAATCTCGATGTTGTAGCCTGAGATCGCGGACTGCCTGTTGGATTGTTAGGGTTTATTGCCGAACTCTCACCATGGATTGGAAACCTAGGTGGAATCTGAACACGCACTAAGTTCCAGTCTTCCTAGCGATATAAAAAACAAAACTATTTCCATGCTTGGGTTGGCTCTATTAAAATCACCGTTGCTGCCAGGAATTCTCGGCTTAAGACGTTTTCGACTGCTAGAGTCTTCGTAGCTTCTGCCAATCGAAGAGAAGATTGAAACACTTCCGTGCCTATTGATAATCATGATAGTACATACAATGAGGCCTGAGAAAACCTGGCTAGCACCGTACCCAAGCTCGTGTGGCACAAGATTGCTGGGTTTTGTCAGACTAGCTGCGAAGCGCATCTTAGTGCCAACTTACGTGATCAGTAACTTCAGCCTAGCCATGGATATTAGTTCAGCTATTCCTGTAATTAATTTCAGATAACCTGCTCAGAGGAGAGGTTATAGAGTATTTCAATACAGAAATGGTTTACACCTTGTATTATACGTGGTACTTTAGGTGATCACGAGCAGCTCCCTAATTCCGAAGTTAGTTTTATATGTTTCAGACAACGTCTAGACATCTATTGCTGACGTAATGAGAATCTAAATAGGTACGAAGATGCGTAAATTCCCTGTATTTCTGGGAAATTAAACTCCTAGGTAGCAAGGATTACTTCAAGCATTGATGTTGGAGTGTTTGCACCTTCAATGCTATCACAAAGATGACAGATTTCCTGAGTGTATTCTGTGGATACACACCGTCTTTTCCAGTGAGATAGCGAGAGCATTTTATGCCCTAGTGATCTAGTATTATCATATACCATAAGCAAGAGTTGCTAGAGGTTGATGGCAAATTATATGACATCCCGCATATCATGTACTGATTGTCCAGGATTTGTGGAATGCTTCTTTTCCGCTTCTACACCTTCAAATCAACTAAGTGGTCGTCATTCCACATCACTTTGCTTTCAGCCAAGTAATACGATGAGTCTTTCTCTTCAAAGCATGCTACAAGCTCTATCCTTTCCTGTTTTCATGGCTTATAACGATAAATCTTCCAATCGGTCTTGTATCTGGGCCCAATATCTGACTTTCCGGAGGCAGATTGCTCCTGAGTTTACAGCTTTGTACTATGCTTAAAAACTCCCCTACACTACGGGTTAGAATCAGATGCTAGATTTTCATACTTCACGTAACAAGAACAACCTTACTGTATACTAAACCCTATCCTCCCTCCTCTAATCGACCCGCGACATCATGTGAGGCCAGTGTGTTAGTGGCATGCCCATCCCAAATTCCAACGTACGCGTGAAAATATAAGTAACAATTTTTGTTGTATTAAGAGCTGACTTTGTGCCCTGGTATGACGATCTAGTCGGAAAGTGGTTCGTGAATATTCATGTGACCGTTGGGTCCCCCTTGAATATCCTTGACAAACCTAACAACATAATGCTTCGTTCCTGCAGCCCCCATATCTCACAGTGAAAAAGGTTAGAATCTGGGTATACAGGAGGATAGTGGAGGTTAGTTTGACATGAAAGCTTGCTGCTTCCTATTGAATACTCTCTTGCATATATAGTCGTCTTCCCCTGCCAGATACTAGATGACGCTCTTTTAACTCCCTTCTATGGTTGAACTTGCCTCACTACATCCAGAATCGGCACCACCTACTAACAGTGCTCGGAAGCTGTCACCTGTTACCCAATTCCTACAAGGTAAGTGAAGTAGGTACTGAAAAGACCGACAAAATTTGGCGCTTTGTTCGAGAAAACTATTACAACTTACTAATTATTGTTGAATTTGAGCAGCGTTTCGAATCATGCATGACCTTGAGGAGCCATCAGAAATTCCTCTTCATATCGGCTCAAAAAACTCGGATGAGGATGATGGTTCAGGGGAGCCGCTCGACCCGGGCGATCTCGAAGTCTCCCCCGATGAAAAACGGGTAAGTTGATTCAACGTTTCCCTTTGAATTCGGCCGAGACAAAAATGGCGGTGGACATTTCATTGGCTTGAGGACCATCGGTGCCTCTAAGTATCGTCCGTTGACTACCCCATGGAATGAATATTCTGACTATTGTTAGCCTATCTCTGAGTCCGACAACTTTGTACCCGAGCGAAATTACACGTTAGATATTTCGGACTACAACCTATCACAGCCTGACCATATATCAAATGAAGCGATTGAGCTAGTTTGGCTTAGCCCTCAAACGAGATCTACTAGTTCTGCGGATGACGATGATGAGGATAGCAAGTGTGATTCTGATTCTGATGATGACGATGGTTCTTATGATGATGATGATGACGACGATGATGATGATGACGACGATGATGACGATAACAAAGCACGAACGTCAAGAGATAGTGCTCCGTGTAAGTTGCTGCATCTACCAAGACCAAACTACCGTAATCTAAATCAAGACACAAAAAGAATGCGAGGGCGCTGACGATGGAAAGCAGCACCGACATCCAGTGGAAAAAATGAGAACGTGAAAAAGTCTTCACCAAAGCGAGAGGGACCCCGCGATGGAATCTCTCAACACGTTACGCGCACGCTCAAAGATGGTACGATCATTAAAGGTAAACAGGGAGCTACTTTTGCTGGATTTATCCCCCCTCCACAAGCACGAGAAAGGCTGGCCAGTCAACCAATCCCGAAACCGACTCTGGGAAACATGACCAGGGACGTGACTCCATCCGCGCCTCCCATTATTGCCTCAACGACAGCTTCGAACTGTCCCGTCGAAAAGAAAACTAGCGATGAAGATGCTGGTATTGGTTCTCAGCAAGAATCTCCCTCTGCGCCCTGTGCGTTGCCGCAACACGGACCACCTCCAAGTAGAGGCCATGGCTCTACTACCGATATTGACAAAGGATCTCTATCTGCGGCACAGGAAGAAAAGCCTAATACATATGCTGAGAAAGAATCTCTGTTTGCGCCCCGTGTTCTGCCACGAACTTCAATCAGTTACCCTAGGAAGAGACGCCACAGCGATGATCCGACGCCAACGTCCTAGAAGCAAAGGCTACGAAATCGAGACCGTCGTCCAACTCCTGGAAGAAGAGATAATTAGACAAAATGCGTATTGTCTAGGTGGAGGTTAGCTAGTACTTATTGTCATGGGTAGCAGACAGGAGCTTATATAAGCAACGGTTGAGCAGGGTTAGAGAACAGGGTATCCCTCCAAGCTGAAATATTGCAATAGCTCGTGTACTCCGTACTACAATTAGAATAGATATCACTACTCCCCTACCCCCCTGTAAGACTCTTCTTGGCAAGTATTCGCGCTAGGCGTGGCCTTGGGGGCCCGCTTTGGGAGTTTTTCCGGGCAGGTATTTGAACGTGAATGAAGGTATCGTGGGCCTCGCGCTAAGCTAGCCTGCCAAGAGGAACCTGACATGGATAAGTTTTACTAGCCTACAACTATGTAGGTATGAATGAAGGACTGTTCAATGATCAAGAATGGCCGCGAACCACAGCTAGACGACTACGAAGACACTGTGAAAGCACCCACACCTGGTCATCTGGAGTAGATACATAGGTACCGACTAGTACTACATCCTACCTAGGTACATAGGTACTTAGTATACCTAGGTGCCCACGTATGTACCTTTTTAGCAGGTGGGGTAGTAGAGTTACCTACATGTAGTCGCAGCAGCAGTGCGACGATCATATTCGGTGTTTTTACTTTCTTTGCGATAGCTGATAATGGTGAAACACGCTTTAGCCAGCTACCACCGGCTAGGTAGGGCAACTGGCACACCTTCCTTAGACTACATAGGCACCTACTAAGGCCAACTTCAGGCGTTGTTAGCAAAGGTGCTATGCTACTGAGTAATGAAGAGTCCAGATTAACGGCACCAAGGCATTTACTTAGTTAGCTTTGTTAACCTCCGGCGATCTCGACCACAACTCTAAACAATATACGTAAAAGGGTACCAATCGAAGTATTTATGGGTATCTTTAATATACTATAATAGTGTAAGTAAGCTAGGTATACTATAATAATAGCCTAGGGTTCCCGTATTACTAGGTTAAGATTGAAGATGTACGGATTAAAAGTTGATTATAAGCTTCGCGCGTATATCCTATAAGGGGCGGGATATGTTATGCACCTAGTACAATAGTTGGAAAGACGACCTCGGATGACGAACTGTCTATGTGTCTACCTATGTGTTCGGGCTTTCTGCAGCATTGGTTCAGAGCCTTATAACTTGAGCCATAAGAAGCGGTAAGTTTGGAGCCTGGTTTCCATTGTATATAAATGTAATGGTATATCCTTTAATAGGACAATTTATTTAACTTATATAAAAGTAATAATATATAACGAATTTTATTATTTAATAAATTAAAACGAATAAAAGTAAAAGTATATTAAGATAAACCTATATTATAAAAATAAAAGGTTTTATTATATTAATATTAAAAATATTTATTAATAATAAAAGGTTAAATAATTAAATGCCTTTTACCGATAGTTAAATAATAATAATATAATATATATTAAAAGTATAATATAAATAATTAATATAGCTTTTAATTTATTAATTTTAATTAAAGATTTATTATAAGCTTAATTATTATAATAATTATTATATATAAATTATTAAAATAAATATTATTAATTTATTTAAAGGGGTTTAAATTATTCTTATAATAATTAAAATAATTAATATATTAATTTTATACCTTTATAATATAGCTTTTATTAATTTAAAGCATTTTATAAATAATTAATATTATGTTAAATGTTTTATAAATTAATTATAAAGTTAAAATAATTAATTATTATTACTTTTATTAAAGCTTATATAGTTAATTAATTTTTATTAATTTATAAATAATAGGTAAAACTTTAACAATTATTTAAAAGTATTAAAATTAAGTAATATAAAGGTTATTATTAAGCTTAAGGTAAGCGAATTTATATTAGGGAAGTAAATAATATTTTTTTATTATAGGATTCCTTTAACCTTTTCCACTTTTAATTATAAAAGAAGTTTTAAATATAAAAGAAGGTTATATTAGCTTTTTATATACTTAATATATATATATAAAGGTAAAATATAATAAAGTAAGTTTAAAGATTTTATTATTAATTTTTATAATTAATATATTAAGGAATATTTATATAACTTTAAAATAATTAATAAGCTTAATAATTATTAAAGTATTAATACTAATAATTAGTTTAATTTATAATATAGGTATTTAGTATATATAGTTATAAAGTATATATATACCTTTTTTAATTATATACTGTTACTATTAGCGTTAATATTTAAGTTAATTTAAAATGTATTTTTTGCTATTATAATTATGTTTAAACTCCGAGCTTTTAAACCGTTTTAATAGTACTACATGTTTTAGGGTTGGGCTGGCTAGACGCAGTAGTTTCGAGGGGTATTCCGCTCCCTTTAATTTTAGCTATTCGCCTTATTCCTAATAGCTCTTACCTTAATGCAATATATAGCCGAAAGCATTTAAATACCTATACGTACTGTTTTATCTAAAAACCTCGGTATATAGGATATAACTGTATAGGAAGAACTTGCCTAATTAGAAAATCTCTAATGTTAGTAATGAAAGCAGACTGGTTGCACCGGGGGTTGGTACCAGTGCTACTTATATGCGGCTTACCACGTGTGTCTAGTTTGATTATACTGTACACGTAATGGCGAGAGACAGTGCTCGAGCAAGCAGGCACTGAGTGCAGTGAGGCCAACCGGAGTCCTGACTCAACAGCGATTCGTGAAGTACCCGTGGGTAGGTAAGGTACCTAGCTAGGCATGTACGCTATCGCCTAAGCTGGGGGGTTGCCTATCGCAGCGGTGATAGGTTCCTTAGGTACCAGGTACCTACTTGCAGATGGGTACCACACCGGCGAAATTATTTCTCCAAAGCAACTTTGAAGCTCTCCCAAAGGCAGGCTAGGCGACGGCGCGTTGATTGTGTGGGAGCAACCATACTATATCGTGAATCCTGCACTCAAGATTCCCAGACCTTTCTTCCATACAATTAAGACTATAACCTGAAACTCTCCCAGACTGCCCTACAATCTGCCTGCCAGGCCTCTTTCAAAATGCAGGCCCCAGTCTTGGTTATGAGTGAGCCCCTCCATGACCAACCAGCCTTTCAAGCTCTGCTGCCACTCGCCGCGTCAACACCAACACCCATACTGACAGCTTTCCGTAGACACCCAGAGCGGTGAGAGACAAACTGGTCGGAAAGCTCAGATATCCAATATTGCTGCCGCAAAGACGTACAACTCTCCCTCCTTACTCGTATGCCCCGCTTCCACTAATCTTTCCATTCAGCGTTGCCGACATCATTCGATCATGTCTCGGTCCCAAGGCCATGTTGAAGATGCTACTCGATCCCATGGGAGGCATTGTGCTGACCAACGATGGCCACGCCATCTTACGAGAAATCGAGGTGTCCCACCCTGCCGCCAAAAGTATGATCGAGCTTAGTAGGACACAAGACGAGGAGGTTGGAGATGGCACAACAACAGTGATAATCCTGGGTACGTGCATCAAACTATCAGATCTATCGCCGTGTTTGTTCTGACTAGCGCGTAGGCGGTGAGATTCTCGCACAGGCCCTACCTCAGCTTGAGAGAAACATCCACCCAGTTATCATCATATCCGCCTTCAAACATGCTCTAAAAGACGCTCTCGAAATCGTCGATGAGATTTCCCTACCCATAGACATCAACGACGACGAGGCCATGAACCGCTTAATATCCTCCTCGATTGGTACCAAATTCGTCTCACGATGGTCTAACCTGATGTGCAGCCTTGCTCTCAAAGCCGTTCGCACTGTGTCGTGGGAGATTGGCAATGGCAAGCAAGAGGTGGATATCAAGAGATATGCGCGCGTAGAGAAAATCCCCGGTGGCGAGATTGAGGACAGCAGGGTCTTGGATGGTGTCATGCTCAACAAAGACATCACCCATCCCAAGATGCGGAGAAGGATCGAAAACCCAAGGATCGTCTTGCTCGACTGCCCTTTAGAGTATAAGAAGGGCGAGTCGCAGACTAACATTGAGATAACCAAAGAAGAGGACTGGAACACCATTCTACAAATCGAAGAGGAGCAGGTCAAGTCGATGTGTGATGCCATCATAGCGTTAAGCCCCGACCTTGTCATCACTGAAAAGGGTGTTTCGGACTTGGCACAACATTATTTCATGAAGGCGAACATTACCGCGCTTCGCAGAGTTCGCAAGACGGACAACAACCGAATTGCTAGAGCCACCGGTGCCACGATCGTGAACCGAGTGGACGACCTTCAGGAATCAGATGTTGGTACTAAATGCGGTTTGTTCGAGATTGAAAAAATCGGTGATGAGTACTTTACCTTCCTCACAAAGTGCACAACGCCGAAAGCTTGCACGATTCTTCTCCGAGGCCCCTCCAAGGATATATTAAACGAGATCGAACGCAACTTGCAGGATGCCATGGGTGTAGCTAGAAACGTCATATTCCATCCACGACTATCACCTGGTGGTGGAGCGACAGAAATGGCAGTTTCTGTCAGGCTAGGGCAACTCGCGAGGAATATCGAGGGTGTTCAGCAATGGCCATATAAAGCGGTTGCTGAGGCTTTGGAAGTTATCCCGCGAACGCTGGTGCAAAATGCCGGCGCGAGTCCTGTCAGAGTGCTTACAGATCTGCGCGCTAAGCACGCTGAGGGTAAGAGCTCATGGGGAATCAATGGAGATACAGGCACGATCGTAGATATGGAGGAGTACGGGATCTGGGAACCAGAGGCTATCAAACTGCAGAGTATTAAAACTGCTATCGAGGTAAGCATTCCCTGCTTTATAACCCAGGCGAGGCGCATAAATCACCTTACTAACGCGGGAGTAGGCTGCCTGTCTCTTGTTGAGAGTGGATGATATCTGCAGTGCGAAGAAAGCGCAGCAAGTTGGCGCGGCTGGGCTCGGCGGAGGCGATGACTAAATACTCTTGAGGTCTCAAAGTGAATAGTTTACGAGATATGTCAAGGATATACCCCTTGTATCAACACCCGGGCCTTAAAAACATTGTTGTTCAAAGATAGATTAGACGGCTCTGTCGGCTTTCTCATGCAATTAGGTCTTTGTGATAATGGTACAATCTTGGCGTGCTTTGCCGCTAGCTATTCCTACACGTAGCCATCATTAATTATCGCGATGGACTCTTCTCAGTTCTTGTGGTATATGTCTCAATCAATGCTGGGTATCTTTCCTTATTTTCCTTCACTCCCGTATCTCCTCCGTCAGTCATCCTCGATGACAATGCCTTTGGTTTCTTCCATCGGCTGGTCGATTGCGCCTTGGCCAATTTCTTCACGGTCGTCCATGTCTTTCTTTAGTTCTATCCGTGATTTGACGCCATTCTGCGATATCGGCCCAGCCGTGCCATTTTTCGCGGCCGCCTGATTCCCATTGTGATTGCGGGTTTCACCACCTCCCCCGTCGCCTGCACCATTCTTGGCGCGTTCTCTTGCCTTCCGCTTCTTGTCCCTCTTCTCGCGGTTCCGGCGCGTCTTCTCGTCGTCCTTGCGCAGCCGCTCCTCTTTCCCGCGCTCAAACTCGGCGTCCGCAGTCTCCTTCACAACCTCCTCGTCCATGCGCCGCAGCCGCTCGTACTCGCGCCGCCGGCTCGCCTTGTACACGTGGAACTCGCCGGAGCCGGCGCCGGCGCTCGAACCCTGTACGTTCGTGACGATCTCGGGCGGTGCTGCCAGGCGGGGCGTCGTGTTGGGCCGCTCGGTGCGGATCTCGTGGTCTGGGTGGGCGAAGAGGACGTCAAGCTCTTTGGCTTGCGCCGAGACGGGCGTTAGAGCGCGCTTCTTCGTAGGCCGCTTTGACCGCGGGTCTGCGGATGTCGGAATGCTTTCGGGCCCTTCGCCGGACATGGTGGTTTGTTGTTTTGCGTGTGCGCAGATACTAGGAGAGAGACAGGTGGCGTGTGTTGAAGAGAGTGGTGGTGTGATGGTTTGTTCGCTGTCAAATATCACGAGTGTGATGATGCGTGATAGCCTCGTCTTGTGGCGGGTGGCGCGAGACGGAATGTTTCACATACACACACACGTGGATAATACGATGTCTCCTGTTTCGAAGGACCAATGGCAACGCAAAGGTAATGACGAGGAAAATCAAGAGCCCGCGTTACTACATGTACATAGTGAGGAAGTGGTTATGGTAGTATTTTAAAGATGATGAGGTAAGGAAAAGTTGCTTCTAGCATCCAGAATTGGATTAGACCTAGACAGGCATCTCTCGTAGCTCTTACGAAGTAGGGAGGCGCCGGGACCCTGCCCCTCCATGATGATGGCGGTCCCTGGCCATCCCACGCATCCCACTGTGCATCTGGCTGCCAGCCAAGCACCAGCCAATTAGGGGGTCGATCTTGTCAGCAGTCGGGTGTTTCTGGGCGTTTGAGCCCCCTGTGACCTCGCCTAGCCTTGGCACTGCATTGGCCTGGAACTTGCCCGTCTCTGTCCGCCTCCGTCCGCCCCAGCAGCAACATGAGCACTAGCACCGTTATTAGGCGATCCTAAGACCACTAACAGGTGGGCTGGGATCTCGTTACCGGACGAGGGGAGAGCATCTCGAGAGGGGTCGATGGAGATGAAACCTCATAACTCATAACGGGCCTCTCGCAACATCGTCGTCGTCGTGTTTGTTTCCTGTTTGGTTTCCTGTTCGAGCCATTCACGGCTCTGTGCGCACCCACCCATTGGCTGCCCTCGTCCGCGTGGCGCTGTCCCGCCGGCCCGGAACTCGCCATTTGTCATGGCAGATTGAGCGCCCGATTCTGCAACAGATTGGCGTTTCCTCCAGTGTTTTACAATAGTCGAGGTATTATAGGCTCCTACCTAAGGTGATCTAAGGTAATCTAAGCTACTGTTCTACATATCTTGGGTTGCCACATTGTCGCCACTTATATCCAAACATCATTGCTACACCACCTCTACACTTCACTCGGCAGTTTTGTTTGGCTCGTAAACCATAGAATCTCTTCCCTGCACCACATCCCTCCTCACTTAAATACTAGAACCGAGAACTTATCGCTCGTTCTCGCCGTCACTATCATCTCTACTATCCCGAGTCCCAGATAATCATATCCCTGATCCCAAACCCAACATCTGACATCCCACCCCGACCAGACCCGAAAACTACAATCGTTCCAAGGCAGCCATGGGCCGTCCTAGACTCATAATTATCATCCGGCATGGCCAATCGGAAGGCAATAGTTAGTGTTATCCATCGGCCGGCGCTATATCGTGCTAGGATCTGACAAAGGCATAGAAAACAGAGAAATACATCAGACAATTCCCGACCATAGGGTGAGGTTGACTGCCGATGGCTGGACACAGGCTCGCGAAGCTGGTCGTCGACTGCGAACCATGTTGCGCCCCGACGATACCTTGCAATTCTACACATCACCCTATCGACGAACCCGAGAGACAACCGAAGGCATTCTAGAGACCCTGACCTCGGACGATCCCGATCCTTCGCCCTTCAAACGAGCTAGCATGAAGATATACGAAGAACCGCGCCTGCGCGAACAGGACTTTGGAAACTTCCAGCCTTGCAGCGATGAGATGGAGCGTATGTGGCAGGAACGCGCTGATTATGGCCATTTCTTCTATCGCATCCCCAACGGCGAAAGTGCCGCAGACGCCTACGATCGTGTTTCGGGTTTCAACGAGAGCTTATGGCGTCAGTTTGGTGAAGACGATTTCGCGAGTGTGCTTGTACTTGGTATGTCCTTTAATTTTTGCTTCTAGCAAGTCGTCCGAGTGCTCCCAAACGCCAGTCTGCTAACGCATCTTCAAGTAACCCATGGTCTCATGTCTCGCGTTTTCTTGATGAAATGGTATCATTTTTCTGTCGAATACTTTGAAGACCTACGAAATGTGAATCACTGCGAGTTCCTGATCATGAAGCTCAAACGCGACAGTGGGAAGTATATTCTGCAGAACAAACTCCGAACTTGGTCCGAGCTGCGCCGTGAGCGTGCCGCTATACGGGCGGCCAAGGAAAAGGAGACGGGTACCCAGGCTGGTTCCGAAGATGCGGCGAAGTTAGACTCAACTCCAGTGGTACCACGAAAATGGGGCGGTTGTCCCGAGGGATGCTCCCACAGCAAGCATTTTAAGATACGTCGAGATCTCCTGGAGCTGAGGCAGCAAGACGAGGCAAGCGCAAATGCTGGTTTATCCCATAACGGGACAAATGCTAATGGCACTACCGTCGCTCGACGTAGAACGCTTGGGAGGCGACTACAAAACTCTGATGAAGATTCAGATGACCCTCGGAGTTTACAACCTCCCTCTATCGACGTGACGAAAGCCTCCGAGGAGATCGTCTCCTCGCCAGACGGAACACCCTCGTTCATCACGATCGAAGACCGCCTTCGCCATAACCTGAACACGCCTAAGAAGCCATCATTCCTTCATGTCGGTCGTGATTTCGGCGGCACCTATTCAGGCCACGCTAGTGAAGAGGACCTGTCTGAGAGTGACGCCCGGGAAAGACTCGCCGCAAAAGCCGCGAGAGTGAAGAACGGCGATAGGAATGGCATGACTCACAGCAGTAGCAGTAAGGATCTTGCCGGCAGCAAGTATGCTAGTCGCCACGCGCATGCCAATAAGCTTGGTGACGCGCCGAGCAACTCGGATCAGGGCTCGGATGATGGGAGCTTGGATACTGAGGATCAACAGCTAGAAAAGCTTGAACAGGAGGAAAAGAGCGTGCGTGGGAGCGTCCTTTGAAGAAAGTAACAGGCAACTGAAAAACTATTTTACGGAGAGCGATGAGTTTATAACGACGGCACTAGAAAGATATACCCCTATCGCTTTGTGAGGATGACTACAAACCTTGAAAGTCTTGTCTACTCTGGCCTACAATATGTTTGCTACTAGTTTAACCAAATTGAAACTCATTAGGTCCAGGCCAGTTATTGCCTCATGTTCTCCAATTTCAAGTGAAGGGTCTATGTTCCATCTTCATCGACCACGATATTATTTCTCTACAGCTAGCTGTAGAGAAAAACACTCTCTTTTCCGTTTTCAATGTTGTCTTGAACGAAAGAACATAGGCTATGTATCTATCGGATATACAGCGTAGTGATCCTCACTTTCTTCAGCATGGCGGTATAGAATGCTCGCTTGTATTCGGTTGTATGGGCATATACGAATAGCTACACCTGCCTATGGCGTTTGCCAGCGGTGATAGAAAAGTCGTGAATCGGTTCAAGTACATTCACTAATAGAAGCCGCGTACTAATTATTATTTAGTCTTAGTTACGTGTTTTGATGGCTTGCGGTAATCACTCATAGGGCAGGTTACCCTAGACGAAGAGCGTTAGTATCATCGACACTCAAAGAAGCCACGGATGCAAAATTATCTGCTATATAGGTATGTTTAAATACTAACTCTAAGGTCCGGCTCAAAGTTGCTGAAGCCTACTGTTCTGAAATGTGATATGAACCATGGGATGGTGCCTTCGATTTGCAGAGTGTTCTACCCACTGAACATCTTCGCACGTCGAGATGTGCGAGTCCCATACTGGATTCAGTTGTACAACCATGAGAAAAAGGATACATAGGTCATTTGAAGTGAAACTATTCGGTCCTCGCAAGGCCGGCTCACTTGTCTATGGAGTCAGGGTCAGCCACCAAGCGCACGAAGGGATCTGAAAGGAGAACATCGTCAATCCTATCAACTGTAGCGGCTTATTGCGTATAGTTCCAAGTGAGCCCTGATACCCTCCCTCATCATACGGAGGGTAACTATAGCGCGCGAGGACTCCAAACTAGTTAGCTGACAACATCTTCAAGACTCCTTGCTGGGTGCCTGTAATTAGCTTTCTACCTAAGTACGTAGGGGGCAAGATACCTCGTATCACAGCAGGCACCAGACAACACACAAACGAGTCCAATATTTATAATGTCCAATTACCCTTCTTATTCCTCACAACTTCATATCTTTCACCCCTTTCCTACTTTTATATACTAAGTATATCTACCGCATTAGTGAAAGATGAAAAGGGCTCACCAAGGACACAAGTACAGGAGAGGCTTCACTTCATCGTCGCCTTTGTTCGTAAGACAAAGTTCGTTCGTGCTTGTTGGGTTCTCCTATATGAAGTATAGGGGTCAAAATATATCCAGATTCCTAACTCCGCGCGCGCTGATCTTATCAGATTCGCAAGCTAGACGATATCTAAGTCTTTGCCTACATATAAGACTACATCTACATTCTTTTGGTAGAATTTCATAACATTTCTGCTGTTCTTCTACGCTATCCATTCATAACTATACCAAGCTACTATGCATGAATGTGGAATCAACCATCATCAGTATAGACGCCAATAAAGACACTATTACAAGTCGGCTAGATAAAAGATGATAGCTAGGTGAATTGTTTCTCTATTTCCTTCATCTTTCCGATGCGCAAAGGTAGCTAGACGCCTCCACGCGGCTCATTCACACGACTACCATTATCCGCCATAGTCTGATGCACTTGAAGATGTGCCGGGGGTCCTTATCATGCCCTTTATCACGACATCCGGGAAATCGTCATGGCGCTCTCACCCTATGCGTTGGCCCCTGGTACACGACAAGTTCTTCGGCGCAACGAGCAACCCTCATCCAATCGTACAAGGACCTTCGAGAACCTCTAGACTGAGATTGGCCAGGTTGGTACCCGTGATCATACTACACACATCGTACCCCATGACCTGCTGTTGTTAAGGACGCGGGGCCATATGCGTTAGACTTTTCAACGTCAAAGCGACGTTCTCGTCTTCAATACTCAAGACTGTGCACAGTCTAATACGGAATTTCCCCTCAGGCTATGCATTAGACAGCCCATTCTGCAACCACTGTAAGCTCAGGGGCTCGTTCCCGATCGACTTCCGCACAGAGACGCTCGCCGGGACATACTCAGGCAAGGTTATACGACAACACACCTGCATCAACATCTAGTCGGAAAGCATAGTATAAAGCATAATGTTAAGCCAGCTGTATACTTCTCGGGACCAGTGCCTCGCTTTTTCTACCTCATAAGCCATCTTGAGGACAACAACGGATACTTGATGCAGTTTATGTCTTTTATCCATAGACGCCAGGGCAGAAGAAGGAAATTCAGCATTGGGCGCTTGACGATAAGCCCAGATCTATATGCTTCGAAACCTTGTCTAAAATGTATGGAAGTGGACCATAGTTGCCTGTATGGCATGGCATCGTACGATGACTAACACCCATGACGTGGCATCTTCCCGTAGCCCACAACTATACTTACCTACTCATGAGAGTGGGCATGATCAAACCGCTGTAAAAATTGCTGGAATTGCTCTTCGTACTTAGGAACATCCCACGAGCTCGTCTCATTCAATTAGACTACTAGAGCTGAGGAGAACATGTGACACCCGAGTACTAGTTTCAACGGGACACTCACGTTAGAGCATCACGGCCAAGATAGACATTCGCTTTGAGACTTCAGGCCGAAACACGTGCGAGTATATATATACTTCTCTTTACCGAAGCATTCGGTACTCGGAGAACTTGCGTTCAGATAGTGGACCACCAGAAGGTCTAGATTTTCTTTTGTCTAGACTTCACCAATCGCGGATTTGGAGGTTTCGGTGACTGAACAATCTGCAAGGTCTGATCATGGCCCCAGAAAATGGTCATGGGTGATGTGTCATGCTCAGAATTTGTTGTACTGGTAAGCTTTAGGCGTGGCTAAGCACAATAACACCGAGACACTCCCATAGCGAATGCTTCATCATGAAACATCAACTGCGCACGTTCGAAGATTCCAGCTCAGCCTTCTATTATATCGTTCAATGATTATAGGCGCCAGGATCAACCCGAGTAAATTGATGCAACAACGGCATTCCGATTCGGAACCCTATAGACAGAGAACACCGTTGCGAGGCCTTTCAAACGATAGGGGCTATTAGATCAACAGCCTTAATATCGGCTAAAGAAGACGCTTCAGAAATATGAGTGCCCGTGAATTCACTTCTAAGCCTACAGTGACATGGGATAGGGCAAGGTGTACCAAGAATAGAATGGGCTGAGGTATTCGACATAAAGCTCGAAGCGCTCTACCGGTTTTCTGTATCATCCTGTTTTCGTGTCCAAGGGTATTAGGGAGGACATTGACATAGACTGCAACGGAGATAATACACTAACTGTGATTCCTATCCTTATTCTCGGATATACATCTGGCTCATGTGTCCCTACGAAGGTACAATGGCAAAGAGTCGTCGTTCTCGCTGGACCTCGAGGCTACAAGCAACATGACAACTGAAGGCACAAACCCCTAAGGCGTCAAATCTAGAGTTTCGTAAAAGCTCTACCTGAATATTTTCTATAGATAGCTCAGTACACCTACTTCTTGCCAACCCAGAGGCAGCTAGGGTAAATTTTGATAGATGACACTGACCTCGGGCCTCCCATCACATTTCATCCTGACCATCACTGAACCCAATATCTTCACCTTGTGTTTTCAATAAATTTGTTCACCGAGCTATAAGCCCTGCTATATGCACCGCTCGGGCACAATGGCCTTGTGCTCCTTTGCTTTTCTCCTCTCCCCTTCCGACCGTCGAGAAAACCCGGACTTGTCAAATTCGTCGGGAAATCTTGGGGCTTCGATGAGAAGCACTCTGGGGAACCTCCATGATGAAGTGAAACGCCTACATATAGGAGTAACGGCTGCGACTCACCAGGTTATCCTTGGTATATAAACCCACTTCTCGCCAATAATAGTACTCTTTATGAACCAATTATTCGCCCGTCTTGCGATGTCCATGTCGAATGCCGATTAATCGAGGTCTACTCAACCAATGGCCTAATGTAGCCACTGTGTTAATTCGTTCACGGTCAGCTGCGTCTAGTTCAGACATCACAGCATTGCCTTATTACGAGACAGGATTAAGCTCATAGTTACATTTCCTTCAACATAGAAGCTGAATAGAGTCATATCGATAATATTTTCTCAGTTAAGGACCTCTATGTCGGACAGGATGATATCTATATAATCTCTTAATACTAGTAATCATGAAGTCTTTGGAAACGCGGTGAATACTTCTGCTACTGGTTGAAGCTTCTCTGCCTCGGTCTGAGACTGGAGATACGTGGCGTGGCCGTTTCAGGGATATCCATGCCACGCCAACTCGCCGTATGCCCGCCTGGTGTTGGTCCGAGGCAAACACTGGGATTCCCTAGTGAGTATCGTCAAGGAATCTCCTCCTGCCACCCAATACTTCGCGTGAATACACTCTGCCGGATCAACACACAGACAATGACGCAAGGAGCAGGGTACCTTGACATTTGACAAGAGGAGCTTCAATGCCTTCACATAGTAGAAATTGGCGAATCAACGACAAGCTCATGCGTCAACTTAGGGGTCGTATTCTCCACATTTCCCTCAAGTAGAACCGGGACAGCTTCTCGGCTATCTTGCACGCCTTGATTTCTCTATTTAGAATCAATACGCCTTACGTTATCCAAGGTCTGCGATTGCCATCGTACGATTGAAAGGCTCTTCAGCAGCATCGCAATTGACTGACCCTATGGTTCACTGGTGGTCGCTTCTGAGATCTTCAAACCAGTTTCTAAATTCCATAAACCCAGCAGCGGATGTAAATATTCCGTGATGTATCGCAACTCTTCAAATCTGTGAGAACTTGGCTGTAGTTTAACGTATCTTACTCTTAACGATATCCCGTCCGCCCCGGACTATTCTAATAGTGTAGTATGCCACCTGTGAAGACGAGGGCAGCAATAGCTTCGATTACATGTATACTACGCCTCTAAATGCTAACAATATTGATACCCAGACGATTTGAAGCAGCACACTCGCTTGTAAACAATAACATTTCGCTGTAAAAGGGAAATGCCACCCCAGCAAAGTAGGAACGCAATGCTTAGGACCATACAGTCCGCCAAGGGAAGTACAACGCCTACTAAGTACAGCGGTCGCATGGTTCTTGGCGGTATTCTGGAAGAGAGAACTCGCTGAAGCGCCGGCTCCAGTCCATGTCATCATTGCCCAGGATGTAATAAGGTGGATCACAAGATAGATAGAGGTATAATACATGATTATATGCTCACAACCTACATGGTAGATATCTAGATTACTAGTGAATGAGATCTACTATCGACTTGCGCTTCGGCTCCCGCATGTCCGAATGACTAACGTTTGGTGCATATACTCGATGTGACCCATAGACCTGCTTGTATGAGAACCCAGAAGTTGTGGGGATTCAGATGCTAGAAACACCACATAGACAAATATACTAAGAGGTATCGGATCGCAGCACTTCGCAAGGTCGCTGATGTGTCTCACAATGAGATATCGGCTAGCATACGACCCTGATGATTAAGGTCTGAAACAACATGCCCTTTCCTTGATCGCATATAATTTCCGTGGCTTTATTACTAAACGTTTGGTGCACCAATACGATGCAGCATTCCTTGTGTAACAATTCGTGTATGTGTTAATCCGTGATGTTATACCTAAGCCGGGGCAGCGGGTTTCAAGCGTAACATCTTTTAGTTTTGAGAGGAGCTGCATACCTACCTCTATAGGAAAGACCACCGGGAGTACTACTTCACAAGTAGGGATAAAGTTCTTATATGGGTAGTGACTGCGATTGAACGGTGTCTATAGTAAGTAATCCTGGTAATAACTCTCGACTGTCTGATCGATCGATTTGCTGTTGTTGCCCGATCCAATCTAGGTGCGTTTAGCTGATTATAGTGCTGTACAAATCAACCCTGGACACAAAATGTATTTGTCGCAATTTAGAATTTTTCAACTGTTAAACCTCATTCCGCTTCACGCGCAGTCAAATGCCGATCACTAAAATTTCGTCATGTTAGTTGGGCTACACAGACCGCGGCCTCGATAGCGGCAATGTCGGTATTTTATCATAGGGCGGATAGGGGGAGAACTGTAATAGAGATCGTCACAGAATTTGTTGTTATAGGCCTAGTTTGTGTCTCCTGAATAGTAGGGCGAGCAAGCCAATGTATTTCCGATAAAACCGGGTCCTGGTAACGGGCCGAACCCCGTCTAGTACCCGTCCGCCCCCTGCGTCGATGCGACCAGGGCGAGCGCATACTAAGTATCTACGTTAATATAGCAAGTATTATAGGCAAGGTAGGTAGGGGTGAAGCTCAATACGCGGGGATAATCATTGAACTTGGCATGCGTAACGCATCAAAGAGGAAACCAAGTTCCGGGAATGCAAGAGATCTCCTTCGAATTATCTGCAGGGCTTTGTCGTCCACTGAGTGGTTAAGCTCAAGACCGTAGTGCGAAGAACGGGCGGACGAATGGTCAGAGGGGTTGGAAAATGCAGGGGTTTCGCAGGATAAACTAAATAGATGTAAACTTCAATGGCCCCTTGATAGCTGAACTATATGTCGTTTTCGTGTTTGAATGTCTAGCATCTGAGGGCATCATATAGTCTTCAGGATCGTAAATGATAGAAAGACCTTGCATGTCTACCTACTACGTAGACAGTTCGGTAGATATTGACATGAAGCCACGTGAAGTGGCGTGCTTTAGGGCGCATTTGGTAGAGTCCAATGCACAATGCGCATTCTGTCACATCGACTAGTTGACCTGTCATATGTGAATGCCAGGCATCTCTTATCGATGGAAAAGCATGTATTACCTACAGGTTGGATCTGAGAACTCTTCTACCTAGGTATTGGGGAAAGCTTGTTCACACGACTTCAAATACCTAAGTGCAAACACGTCAATGCAATGTTTTTTTTTACAATCAAGGTTTTGTATTCTCGAAATCAAGGAAACCTCTGTTGTGGGCAGTAAAGCGCCCCTGCGCATCTCAAAATGATCGTCTGCTGACACAGCAGCAGATTCGATCTGGTATCTTTTCATGTGAAATCAGACAAAACAAAATACAATACAATACAGAAAGACAGTCCATACTAAGCCCCCGATACGCCCAACCCGCCCAGTCAAATGAAGTGTAGAGTGAGGCCCTTACGCAACAGTCTCGGGCTCAGGGAGAGACTCGACAAGCTCAAGTACCTTGTGGTCGTCAAGAGCAGCGGCGTATCGACCAGCCATTGCGTGAACACATTCCCTGGGCTGCATTTGATAGGGGCACATTAACCAACCGACACCCGCGAGGAAAGATTTACGGTACTCTATGCGGAGGTCCTGGTCGGATGTCTTGAGATTTTCCCTGACTCCGAATTTTGCTAATATGGAGAGGTAGTGGTCAAGGAGCCTCCACTCGTAGGTGCGACGGTTCTCCACTGTCAGTGCGCCGGCGATGTAGTAAGCGACGTCGTGGAACGCGCTGCCGATGTGGATCATCTGCCAATCGAGGAAGCGCGGGGCGCCGCGGTCGAGGTATGTGTTGCCGAGATGCGCATCGCCGTGAAGCAGGCACTGGAACTTAGGGTTCCGCGAGCGGTAGTGCTTCTTCAACACGGCCATCATGCGATCCTGATCCCGCAAGTATTCGTGCACATATGGACGATCGGGCCCGTTGGTAACGGCGCCGTAGGTCTGCATGAGTGTGAGGATGGCCTGGTCATAATCTGAGGTTAACCAGGGGTAGTCGGCAGGCTGGACACCCCAGGTCTTGGCGTGCAAAGCAGCGAGCTGCTCAACACCTTGGCGTACACGGTACACAGGCCAGGTCTCGACGGGATTGCCAAAGGTGCATCCACGCGCCGCCAGGTCTTCCATGACGATAATGCCTTGCGCTTGGTTGTAACCAGCCCACAATGCCTTGGGCAGATCCATGCCCTTGAGTGTAGGCGCAATGCGGTTGAAGAATTCAACCTCACGCTGGTATATCATGACAATCCAGGGCATCTGCTCAATGAAGGCCGGGTTGAAACCGCCCTTGACACAGAGCCGTCTCTCCCCGTTCTCGTTCTTGGCTGTCACGTATAGCTTAGTGGCTGTACCCGGTACCTCATTCATACGCTTGATTGATCTGACTTTCACGCCGAGGACGGAGGTAAGCCATGACGGGCTGATGTCACTGGCAACAGCGGGTAATTTGGACTTAGGGGGAATGTTGAGTTGTTGGTCAAGGCCGCCGTCGAGGGCGGGCAGCGAGACATTGCGCTGCTCTACGATCGTATCGGCCATTGTGACGTTTGGGATGATAAGAGGAAGGGAGGTCAAGGAATGGGTAATGAAAGCAAGTGCTCCAACGCGAAGAGTATCAAAGGATGATGGTAGACAGGGCCTGCTGCTAATATAATAAGAGGACTATGGAATGACGAGTATGAGATGATAAACCAGACACACGCGAGAGAGCTCATCCCCCTTTCAATCGGCAGGCCGACCTTTAAACCATTTTCTCTCGCATCCTTGACACCTCGCCATACGGCACAGCGTCTCCCAGGGAGATGGTCGTCTGGACAGGATGGCGGGGTTACCACACCCCTCTGTCCGTAACTAAGATTGCGAACTCCTGCAGCAAATCATACATTCCAATGCACCTAATACACACATAGTAAGGCCTGGGTCGTCTACATGAGACTAAGCGGTGGAGATCGACTCTAGCCTCAGTTGTTTGTCCTGGACCCTTGAAACAAAATGGGAAAACCCGTAAACGAGAGGACGATGTCAAGGGCGCGTGAACCGCGCCAGAGATATGTTGGTAAGATTTACATCTGAACATGCATTACATGAGGAGCTGACCATGCGGATCGAGATATGTAGTGTACTTTGATCCCTTCACTTATTGCGAGACGTTAAGACCCAGGGGGGAAGGGGGGTTAACTGTTAGGATAGCTAATGTAAACTAACAAATATGCCGCATGTTACCTGGTCTAGAGTCCAAATTAGGCATTTGCCGAGACTGGTTGTTATGTCCTAGTGCAGCAACTTGATGGTCTATCAACCTTTATTCAGATTTCCTAACATTAGTGCAGCACTTCACCCTGGACAACAAGGGTGGCTGGGCCAGGGAGGATAGCGATTCCCATCCCTCTGCCCGCCCGAATTGTGTAATACTAGGAAAGCAAGCATGTTGGCGTTGTGCTAATAATCATGGGATCCTTGGCCTGGTCCGTTGTTGGGTGTGGTTGCAGCGTTGGTTGCAGGTTTGCCCCCGCATGTGTTGCCAACTTAGGTAGCTTTCTTGGACGCTTTCGATGAGAGCAACTGTCTGTGGCTGTCTATCATGGCATCATTTCCTAGTTTGGCATTGCGTGTACGTTCCACGTGTTGAACTAGAAGCACGTTTTTGAATATTCTGTATAACATTGATGGTTGGCCAGACTGAGATGCCAAATGAATTCAGACACCTCTCGGAGGCTTTAGTCAGGTCAAGACTATGGACTACTATGGACTGGGGTGTCATACGCTAGTGTATACTACACTATATTACTGCATACTTAATACGTGGAGGACTACCAATCTAGGGTAAGCATGCAGAATAGGAGTCGTCTACAATTGGTTGAATTACTGCTGTTGTATCGAAATGGAGTGAGCTATATACAAGTCGCCCCATGCAACTCCATCTGTAAGCCAATCTGCTAACTAGATTTGTGTTAAAGAGTGAGCACAACCCCGGCGACAATGGAATATCAAGTTTGTACAAATTAATCAACCACTCAGAGGCAGGTCGGGGGGCGGATAGATGATGACGAGCGTACATCGCATTTCGGAACGGGACGCCTGGCTGACGGCCCCAACCGGAGATATCGCCTAGATAACCAGTACGGAGATGAGTGATGAAAGTAGAACTTTACTGGATAAGGTTGATGGTTGCCGTTGAATTAAACTGTCCAAGCATTGGCCTGAACTCGGGTAATGCCCTCTTTAATAAACTTCGATAAGGCAGTCTCATGTCTATATTGAAACTCGATACGGGAGCTACGGAGTGATAAAGAAATAGTCTCTATCGATAGCAGCACTAGTTCTAAAGGTGTCATAGTGTCTATAGAGGCGTGAGGCACAGCCTACATACCTAGTAATATACAGTACTACGCCCCGGACACCTTGTCTCCTAAATGCTCTTTCGGTTAGCAAGTAGGCTACTGACGATGACAGACTGGGGCATGCTGAGAGATGGTGGCATGTTGCATTACGAAACGCAGAAATGGGATGATCAATGACCGAATCCGGAGAGCTGGAAATGTAGGTACAGGAGGCAGTTTGGGGATCAGGGGCACAAACCGGGTGAGTGTCAAGGCCAAGACGTAGCAGGAATAAACCGTTATAATGTTAATGGAGGTGGGCTAATGCTACACTGGTATATTACTTAGATAGTAAGAACCGGATGAAGGGGGAAGTAGATGGAACGGCAGATAGGAGAGAGAATCGGCCAAGGGTAGATTACTAAACAATCGTCCGACTTGCCGGGCCGCGTCTGGAAGATTTGAAGATATGGGGTAGGTTATCTTTCAGCCAGCTGAGCGAGAGTCCGTATCCGGTTTATGTAAGCTACAGACTGGTGAGGGCTACTCGCATACCTAGTATAGTAGACAGGTAAGAAGGGGCTCAGCCTGTATTTATTCCTCCAACAGACGAGGCCGAAGAGCGGTCAAGCGGTGAAGCAGCCACCGGCAAACCCAACGGCCGTCTAGCTGCAGTAGTGTATTGCTGGCGCTGACAAGAGAAATGAGGCGCAAAAAAAAGAGCTGTTACGTCTACAACACTACACCAACTAGTGTAGGTACGCGCTACACTACTACCTGTACAAGTAGTTTGCCAGTAGATCTGATGTGAGATTCAGGCCCATAACAAGGATGGCGAGGTGTACACAACGCAACACTACATACTTCGTAGGTAGTATACTACACTACCACGGCTGACCTCCATTCATGTACTGTACTTACTTAGTAGAGACTAGATGTTCAACGCGAGCAAATCATGGCTCTTCGTAAACCAGGGGAGTGGGGCCGGCCCTTGAGTGGTTAACTCTAACCGTAACTAATCAAAGAGAAACTACTTACATAGTAAGTAGAACAGTACTACTAGAATAAGAAAGTAGTTGCGGGCTTTTCACGTGACTCCAGCCACTTCATAGATGGGGCAAATTATTGCGAGATGTCGCGACACTACTCCGGCCAGGACCCCTGTGGATAACGACGAGAATGGGCTCTAGCCATACTACGAAGTAAGTACACAGACTACGTGGCTTTGTTACACTGCACTAAGGTTTTTTCAACGCTCGGCGCGGCCCGTACGGTAGAAAGAGGTATATTACGATGTAAGTACGGTATATCACCAGCATAACAATCTCCGCACCGCCTACCATTTCTACTCACAAGTTGCCGTCCTTCATTTACTAATGTATCATTCAAGAAAACAGAGAAATTGAAACGATGCACAGGCTCAAGTACCGAAAGCAACACAACTTGTCCCGAGTCACTGGGTCTTCGGTTGCATCACTCTACTTGACAGCCAAGGACAGCTGATGAAGGATTGGGGCCTCCTTGTCTTGTCCAACCCCCCGGCGACGGGCGCGTCGCACTACACGATACTACTTGAATAGCGAGGCGGGGAAGGGGGCCAACATTGGCCAATGGAAGTAGTCACAGCAATTTTCACCGGGCTTTTCTACCCGATAACCAACCACAGCCCATAGAGCCAACCTGCATGAAGAGCTTTCTTCTAAGTATGCGTCTTATCGTGCACATTGGAAGCTGACAGTATGCGGCGCGAAGCTGATCACATCCTCTATCGTCCTCCAAATACATACATATCAAAGCAGGTTTCCGGCCCAGCCGGCAGTTGTTCGAAGAGACATAAAAACTTGACACCTCGCATTGTGAGTTTTCTTTCTTTTTTTTGGTAGACTCTGCCATGAATTGTGGCCTTATCGTGGAGCCTGGGCCATGCGACGAGGCGTACCTTACATATGCCTATTGTTCTTTAGTGCACACACAACGTGACCTATCCCTGCCTACTACTCAAGTCCTCGTGCTTCTACTCAATACCGATGCATATGTATACCACCACACCATACCACACTTGAACTACTACGTATAGCAGGTGAGCCAACCTAGTGAATAGGAGTCGGAGTTGGAGTTGGAGTTGGGATGATTATTACAGTGAGACATAATCTGTGCAGAACTTGTAGATCTTGACGTTTTCTTCAGTGGTAATCGGTTATCGACCAGAGCCACTTGGGACTTGGATGAACCATGTTCCCTAGCGCAGCGCATACATAGATAGTACTACGCGTATTATTATCAACCTCGACTTAATTCTTTCAGCGCTGCGGAGGCGAGACGATCGCTCCAGCACAAAACAGGAATTAGTGCACATCGAACGATAGATAGCTGCGCTACAGCCCGCAGTATAACGGACTATCGTGATGAATAAGATATTAGCCCCGAGCAGATCCCAGCGCTAGTGGGCCTGACCCTAGCTTCAAGTCTGGAAGCATGGTCAGTGCGAGCCTGGTCAACTTGTATGCTGACGAGCATACATCCTCCATTCGCCGTACGAAGTATGGGCTCGTTACACTACTGCTACGCTATACGGTTTTTCGCAGTCTCGTCTCTTCAATTCCTTGCCGGAATCCCTACTGTGTTTGTCCAATTGGCAACATCCGCGAAGTCATCGCCGTAAATGGTTCTCACGGCTATAGGGAAAACCAAGCAGCTTGAGGTATGTAATGTGCCAATCTTCGATGATCAGCCAATCATGGGCCTCGCCTGGCCTTACGTGATAAACGATAACCTCGTCCCCCCCCTGGGGAGACAAGAGATCTCGGGCAAAAGTGGCACGGCCTCCCGTCTCGCCCCCTCCCGTCCGTTGTGTTCCATACCCGTTCGAATCGATTTCCGTTGCTTTATCTTTTGTGCAACTATGTATACATATAAGCCGATAAAACCGTTATAGGTAGCGTAGCTCCCCCGCAAAGCATCAGATGCAACCTGAACAATGCTCAACGAGCTTACATGTAACTTGTGTGTGGATCAACGGCGCCGTTTTCCTTCATAATGCCTGCCCCCTGCTACACAAGCAATAGTGTAGGCTTTTGCGTCTGCGTATTTCATGCGGACCAGAACATTTACAGAGGGCAGAAGAGGGTCGTTCGACAGACCCGAGTCTCCAAGTGACAAAAGAATGAGCAGTCGCCACAGAACGAGCGCGCACAGCATTAACCGCACACTAAAGACAAGGGAACAATGACACCCCGCTGTTTTATTTCGTAATTTTGAGGCTTCCTTTATAGCATTGTGAATGGGTTCGTGAAATTGACATGTCAGTTATTGGCCTGCTGATGGGCCCATGTGGCACATCATGAGCATGGCCTGGAGGGAGCATCAACGCCGTGTGTTGCGAGGAGAGCGAGCCAGTGAGCGAACATCAGCACGCTAATGCAGGCCGCGGAGGCCAGGAACACAGGAACACAGGAATATCTCGCACTAATCGTCTATGCTCATCCCATCCCCCTGTCACCTCTCGCCCAGCCGGGCTTCCATTTTTTTTTTTTTTTCGTTAGAATAGGTGGTGTAGTTCCGTTATCTACGAGAACATAAGCCATCCCATCAGCCCAGCCCGTTTTCTTTCCCACCCCTTTATTATTATTTGTATGAACAACCAGCTCTCCCTCCACTCGAGAGCGGCTGTCGTCCTGTCGCAATCCACCCACCCCCTCTAGGTCTGGCTGGAAAAGCAGCGCTAACTTATACTACCCACTTCCCCGATCCGCACCACCCCTACTCCCGTGCTCCTCGACGTCGTATTTTACCTGGTACCGAGAGGGGACTGTTTGATCAACCATTGAATTATCCCAATATAGTCTTTAGGGCCGCTCAGCCCAATTAAAACATAAGGGACCTGTTACCTCGTCATAACCGGGACTTCTCGAGCTTTTCGCTTCCCAATCTCTTATATTATAATCCTACCCTGCATTCCTTCATTAGCATAATCCTGGGGAAAGGACACACCCAAGACTCATCGTTCATTATCTGTTCTATATCAGACTCAGCCGCTTTCACTACTTCATTGTTGTTGATAGCTGTCGCTGTTCCTGTAGCCTCTTCGTCCATGCCCCCCTAGTGCATATAGCCGAACCATACGCCGCCACCATACATATTGTCAACTGGTATATCGAATCAAGTATAGAACAAAACAGAACAAGAAACAAGGAAAATGGCGTGGGCACGAGACAGTCTTCCCCCGGCGATCTACACGTTCCTCGCCCTCAACAGTATCGCCGTTATCCTGAGGGTATTCGTCCGGACCCGCATGAGCAAATCCTTTGGCTATGATGACTATGCTATGGTGGTCGCTTTCGTAAGACACCATCATCGCCAACACCTCTGGGAGGTTATGGTACTTGGAGAAAAGGGATATATCAATGCTGACGTGGCTCTATGCATAGGGCGGCTTTGTCACACTTTGCAGTTTAACGTTGGTATCTCTGAAGAATGGCTATGGCGACGCAACACCAAAACCACACTATAACGTGTCGCAAGCGACGAGAGTGAGTGGCAATCCAACGCATATCTCGATGACTCACCTTTTATGTGGTTTCTAAGCGAACGGGGGACTTGGCTGACTTTTTTGGTTCCTTTTCTTTCCATCCAGTATTTCGTCGCTTCAACTATTACGTATGTTATCGCTCTTTACGTCGCCAAGATAAGCGTGGCGCTCGTTTTGCTGCGAATCGCCGTCACGAGCAAGGGTGTCCGGGTAGTGTTGATCTGCTCCATGGTGGCCCTGACGATCTGGACGACTGTCACGACTCTCCTCGTAGCGTTCCAATGTGTGCCTCTGTCGGTGGCTTGGGGCGAGGGAACGGGAACTTGCCTCCCGGCCGCTGTCCTCGCTAACACCGGTTACTCTATCTCTGCCATGGATATCGCCTCGAGCTTCCTCTACGCTGGTCTCCCGGCTTACCTCTTGAAGGGCGTTCAGCTGAGCATCAAGGTTAAGGCCTCCATTATCGTCCTCCTGGGACTGGGCGTCGCGAGCTCAGTGGTGACGATCATTCGCCTGAAATACCTCGTCGATGTCGGAAACCTGAAATCACCCACTGGCATTGAGGCTGCGAACGCCTACTTGACCACATTTGTTTAGTGAGTTGCCCTCTTTTCCATCACCTCAACTCTTGACTGTGATCTTGAGACCCCGGCGATAAACAAAGTCGTCAGCTTTCAACGAGACTAACCACAGCGAAACTTTAGCTCCATCACCGAACTTGGCCTGACCATCTTCACCGGCTCCCTCGCTGCCCTGCGGCCGCTCTTGAAGCTCGTGCCGTTCGGACAGACGACTGGTAAGGGATACGGCACGTACGCGGCCTCGACCAAGGGAGCATCGGGCGTGCGTGAGGAGATGGGCAACAATATGAAACTGCAGGACTTCAATGATGCCGAGAGCCAGGACTTCATCGTACCCAAGGGCCGCGTGCATAAAACCGTTCAGTATGAAGTAAAGTACTCCGATGTATGAATGAGAAATTTTTCTTGTCTTTTTAGCGAAACCAAAAAAACCAAGCACACACAAGGCGTCTTGTCAGACTTTGATTTATTTTATTTTGACAAAAATTCATGTCCCTCTCTCTCTCTCTCTACATGAAACAGATAGGGAGAGAGGTTCCTTCTGTTTTTGTTTTGTTTTATAATTAATAACCTTAACGGTCTTGATGTCATGGGAGGAAAGGGAGTATTTACTCGTCGTTACAACTTTATGGGTTTTTTGTGTCTGTATGTCTTTGGCCTTGTTCTTTTCTCGGTGTACCGGCGCAAAAAAGAGCACACACCATGTTCTTGTATTCATTCATATATGAATAGGTATACCACTTACTTGGGAAACACGGATAGTCTTCCTAGAAATCATCATCAATGAGGAAGAAAGTTGAAAAGAGACAGACACACACAGCGGGAGAGAGAGAGGATACTCATATGTTTGAGAAGCGAAAGTGGTATTATGTATAAAGTGCATATGTTGTAAAGATGACAGGTATAAAAAGGAAAATAACTATGTCCAAGTGAATGGTAGGTGTCTAACTAAAACGTTCACGCGTGTGCGTATGATCTATTCTAACCCGTCTTCCAGTTTTGTCTTCCCCTTTCCTTTCCCCGTGTCCCCGAACTCCTGTGGTTGCCCTGTACATGTAGTCGCCGTGAAACTTTTCAATTCCCAAAGTGCCGCCGTCACGTTCTTGACCAGACCCAATGCAATCATGCCAAATACCCGCCCCTTCTAGTAATAAAAACATGAAAATGAAAAGATAGAAAGGATGGTGATTATCGTTTCATGTTTCGTACTAGGGGTTGTATCGGGGGCACGTCGCTGACCAGAAGCAGTTGCCGCCGAGCATGAGGCTGACGCTCTCGACGTACTTGGTCATTGTATGTGAGTAGTTGAATCTTCTCAGGAGGGTCTGGCCCAGCTCGCGGGTGACTTGTTCGTGGTGGACGATGAGACCACGGAGAAAGACGGCGGCGTCTTCCTCACTGAGATCATACTGCTGCATGATGACCGGGACGGCATTCCACTTGCGGTCAGCAGCGTCGACGGACTCGGTTCGCTCGACATTCCATGAATACAGGTCGTTTGTCAGGCCCATGACACGTCCGGCAGACATGTAGAAATTGTGAGCCTCGTCTGTCTCAGCCTCGTTGAGGTCAAGACCCACGGTCCACTGCATGAAGCTATCCATGATACTACGACTTAGTTAGTAGGCTTGATCAGACAAAGATAAGATAGAAGGTCACTAACCCATAGCCGACGTTCAGGATACGGTACTCGGTGTACTTCTGGATGGTGGTGAATGGGGTCTTTTGGCTGTCATAGTTGTCGAGGTAGTTCTTGAGCGAAGCAAGGACCTTGGGTGCTCCTTGCTTGTCCATCTGGTTCAGCCTGGCTCCAAAGTCCTTGAACAACGTGGCGATCATGTTCTTCTTGCTGGGCTTCTCCGCGCCGATTATACTATCCCTGACGCTGGCGTGAACCTTGACGGCACCGGCGTGGTCGACATCCTCCATGACATCTTCAAGGTATTCATGTCAGTTGAAGGGCTCATGGAGTAAATAGGGTTGGGAATAAGACGTAATGACTTACCATCGTATATCCATAAGCTCTCGATGATCTCAGTGGCCAACTTTACTCTCTCCGTCTTTCCGTTAGGCCAGCACGTGGCGAAGAAGTTTCCATAGGGTCCAGCGGAGTGCGATCTGAAATCTGTCTTCTTGGCTACATCTTTGAAGTTTTTCCTAGCGTTCAAGGCCCCTTGGTTGATCTGGCTGTCCTCCTTGTGTACCCGTACCGGGAATGTTGTGATAGACTGTGGGTGAGAAGCCGTCTTGACTTTGATGGACGATGGTTTCCTCCTCAGTAGAGGCCTTGGTAACTTCAACAGCGACGAATGCTTGTCGGCGTGCAGCAGTAAGCCGCCGGTGAGTGTGAGTTGTGTCATATTGATGGGTTGGGTAAGATAGTATTAAAAGGAGTGTGGGTTAAGCAGAACAGAAACCAGTCTGTGCTCAAGGTGGCTGTTATGTATGTGAGATGATTGGAGTGATGAGAGCTCGGTAACAGAAATGGGACGAAGGGGGTTCGGTTTGCTTTATAGAAATTGTATGCGTTGTCACGCACAGTGAGGACGTGGGAAAACCAATAAACTGAGCTGACATCATGCAGGGTGTATACCGAACCTGGTACACATCCAAGCCTCGAAGGCTCCAGGATCATATCGTTCTGGAAGAAATTTCTCTCCACTTGGGATCGCTGGGACTGACTGGGTAGCTTCGGGGTCTACTCAGGGTTCTGAGAGCTTGCCCCGAACCAATGGTCTGGGAAATTGTTGACAGAAATTGTGGAGGGATTCACTTTAATGAAGTCACCTCCCCTGCCAACTACTACTGGGAACGTGGCGTAGGATTCCAACGCGGCCCAAGGACATGGGCCCGGATTCTCTTCCGGAGCTTTCACTAGCAATCATGTGACCAAGGTGGCTCTCTATTGCTGCTGTCTAGCAGATTTCGTCAAGTTGATCATTCACGCCTATTCCTACACAAATCCGCGGCGTCGTGTTAAATTGGTACCAAATGTGCTTAGCTACTCTCAAGTGAGGGGCGACTCGTAAGCTTCGGGCTCATAGTAGGCATGGTGAGCACGGCCTTACCAAGGGTAATCACGTCTGAGGTAGGCAGGTTTTTTCTCTCTCTCCCAAGCGGAACCCCCGCCGCAAGTCCTGACTGGCGGTTATAGCCTGTAGGTGACTCTTTCGTCACGTTTTCCCAAAGAGATCTTCGGCCAGTGTCGTGCGGACTGCCGAACTTGGCAACTTACTCGACCCATCACCATGGTAGCTCTCCTCCCCCAGCTCCAGCGAGCTCCTCTTTCTTTCGGCCATGTGAGGTGACCAGAGACGGAGACAACATGGGTCATCCACCCACACAGCTGATTCTGATCATGAGGTTGGCTCTTCACGCTCAGCGTGGATAAAAAGATCCCAGTCTCGCATCAGCAGCAGCAAGGATCGTGAGGTCGCTTAAGCACCTTCACCGACGTTATTGTCCTGACCTTCCTCCGGATCTCGCAACGTTTTCGTCACACCGAACGATAGGTTACACCATAACGGTCGCTCGAGCCTTTGCAAAAGAAGCCCTGTCCCGTCCATCCAGCCTTGGCTGGCTTTCTCCTGGAGCTCAACGCCGCCAAGGGCATGGCTTCGACTCGACACACGCGGTCGTCTCGAGACAAGGCAGGGCACTGGCAGGGAATAACATTAGTAGCGGCAGCGACAGCGGCGAGAGTCTCTTTCACTACGGTACGCCACGAAAATTTTCTCGGGTCTGACATCTGTTCTATAATTGCACCCGTTTAGTGTCGTGGGTGCAATTAGCCTCACCACCCCGGATCCCTGCACCGCCTCAAGACCGGAAACAAGCGCTCGGTCCAATCACCGGGCTGCCCCTGGTCTACCTTGGCTGCTTTGAGCAATGGCGACAATGGTAATACCGGGCAGACCCTTGGCCGCGCTGCTAGCGTCAAGGAACCCTAGCTGGTGAGTCACTGATCACAGAGCCTCCAGGCCAATTAATCAGATGTCGAAGTGATAAATAATCATCACCTGCTTAGAACACCTGGTCTGAACACATGAGCTATAATATGCAACATATAGATTTCCAGATTGAGTATACATGTCATGTAAGTACATGGCGAGCTGCATGTCCGTGCATGTCGTTCACCTGTTTTACCCCTCAAAGCCAAGCTGGCATAAAACCCAACTGCGATATTGGGCACCTCGGGCCTGCTCGGGTACAACGTGTCGATTGGCGAATCGCCTGTTTGTCGTGAGGGATCGTTCGGTCGTGTCGCTGGCAGGTCAGTGGCAGGTCAGGTTGCGTGCGTGCTTCACGGGCTCTTACGCTTGCTTTGCCGGTTTGCTCGGGGAACATGTAAAGATTTGTCCCTGCTCGCCCTTCCTTCTGACGCGCTCCGAAAAAGGCCCTGGCCAGCGAAACGACGAATAAGCGAGGATGTTCTGCCGAGCAGGAACAGCTCCCTGGTCCAGCTTATGTGATAGGCTGTGCCTAAGAATTCCTTTGCCCCGTGGGAATGCCGCGGCCGGTAATCAATCAGTGTGGTGCGGTGCGCAAAGTGCCGCGTGGGCGAGTTGTGCTGGACTAAAAGTAGCCGTCTATCTTTATACATAGTAACTCCCGTATATACACAAGCATAATACGCATTACTCGTCGTGTACACTAAGCCTCCGCCTGTTGTTTCTGGTGATGTTCCTGGTGATGTTCAGGGCCAGGATCTTGCATGTCCAATGTCCAAATATACTTATGCACACACACACTAGTGGCGCACACTCGGCAAAAATGGCACCGAGGAGGCTGCTTACTTGTCTTACACCACCGCATCAGCTCCAATAATACACAACCTCCTACACTACACAAGACGGCACGTTGACTGTCTACTAACACGTGGCGATGAGGGGAAGCTGTTGTGGTGGTGTGGTGGTATTGTTGTGGTGGTGGTGATGAGCTGTGGCTGGCCTAAAGCAGGTACACGGGAATAAAGGCACGACGAGAGGTCGTACAACATTGCTAGCACTACGCTGCCTAGCAGGCACCACTCGGCACTTCTGGCAGTTTGATGTGTCGTTAGGTATGGCGCCAGATTAGCCAGATGGTTATATGGTTAGGTATATGGTTAGGTCGATAGAGGTATGACCTGGGCCGGCCTGGGCTTGCCGTGAACGCCTCCCGTAGGCAATATTATGTGTATATATATAATATATATATGTAGGTATGTATGTACGGTATGTATGGTCGTGTGTCAGAGGCTATATGCAGCTGTCGGCAAGTGTGACACATGCCATGATTGATTAACGTAGGGCGGTTAAGCTGCATCTTTGCTCTGGTCTGCTCTTGTCTGCTCCGCTCCGCTGCAATTCCAAGCCAAGCGAAGCGAAGCGATGCGATGCGATGCGCTGTGATGTGATGTGATGTGACGTGCGGTCAAATAGGCAGCCTGCCTTGCTGTATGTGTGTATGTGTGTCTGTATGTAGGCATGTATACATAATTCAGAATAATCAGAATAGGTAGGTCGTCGGCAAATAATGCCTGTTATATGCAAGCTGGCATAAGAGCCCATCTCGGACCCATCACTCTGCCCACTTCTGCCCATCTCTCCAATCCTCCACTTGGCAGAAGATGCTAAGCGACCAGCCGAGGACCGACGCACCGAATGATTGGAACGCTCCGATAACCTCATGCATAAGCCCCCGGATCCGCGCTGTCACTGCAACCTCAGGAACAAACGCTCGGTAACGACGCCGCCGCACAATGAGCCACATCGCGCCTCTTCAGCCCAGAGACGCCGATGTGCCAACACCGGTTTACCGGTTTACCGTTGGCGCCCTCGATCAGTTTGGACATGCCTTTCTGCCCGATCCTCCATCTTCGATGTGCGTGGAGAATGGCAATTGTTCCCATCGGTGGGTCGGTCACTGTCTTCACTACTAGGTATATGTAATGTGAATAACGCCAAAGCCAAGGTCCAGCCCCAGTCCCACCCCCAAGCCAGGCAACGCAACGCAACGCAGAACAGACCCAAGCCCAAAGCAAGCCCTCCCCTGTCTCTGCTGCTGCACACACGATCACATACATAAAAAAAAAAAAAAAAAAAAAGAGGAAGCCCATCGTATTCAATGCAGTCAATGCGACGCTACATACATCACACCACAAACGTTCCGTTTACCGCTGTGCAACTACATAAGATACATAAGATCGTCAAACAATAACACGATAACCGCGTGACTCAACGAATACACCGCTTCAACTGCTCCCCGACCGCCCTCGCAACACCCTGATCTTCGAGACGGGAGAAGCGGACGACATAACCTAATGAAGATAGCTTCATGTACTTGTCGCGCACACGTGGAAGGCTAGTATAGTGTATGAGCTACGTGTACAGTAGCCCGGCCTAGATAGTGTAAGTCGTATAGAAGCTATGAGGACAGCTGGTACCGCCCACTACATAGTACACGATGGGGAAGACAAGTCGAGTTGTGGATACGTGAAGCTGTCTCGGGCGCAATTCTGCATCGTGAGCATCGCGAGCAGAAAATCGACAGCGGACAGCGCCGTCAAACAGTATCCCGACAGTATTCTGACAGTGCGTACAAGCTTATGTGCAAGCGTAAAGCCACCGAAGCAGCCATCGCACTTTAGTCACCTTGCACTATTCCGGTTTGTGTATAGGACAGGGCAGATGAACCACCGATCTGGAAATGTGAAATGTGATAGATGTTTTTAGATTATTCCTTACTTACTATGTAAGTAGTGTAGATTTTTGTCTCACATGTTCTACACCACCAGGATAATCCAGGATAACCCAGTACATGACCTACCTAGGTAGTACAACAACAAACCTTAGTCTTACTTACTTACATAGCATCTGCTGTGCGTAGTGTAGTGCCGTTTTCTCCATCTCTTGGGGATCGTCAACACCACATGCACGATTGCTTAGTAGAGCAGAGAAAAACCAAAGCCCCCCCCTCCCCCCAAATTAAAAAGAAACCCTTTCCCACTTGGTACGTGCAGCAAGTATTGATCACGAGCCTGCAGATCAGATCACATGGTCGAACGGGACCTTGCGAATAGGAGACGGACAAGAGGGCTGTTAAGATGAGCGGTGTCTGAGCGGTGAATTGAACAGCTTTTTTTTTTCTCTCTCCTCTTCAAATCCTGAGCGCACGGGCGCTTACACACATACCTGTCTCTTGCCTGCCTGCCTGTGACGATGGTGCTGATCAAATAAATGTGAGAATCCCATACTGTGATCGCCATAGCTAGCGTGACACACTACTTACTCAGGAAACCTCCAGAAATCCTGCCATGATGAATCGATACACGAAACAACGGGGCCTGCCATGATCTGAGCCCTGGTTTTTTTTTTCCCTCCCCCCATTCCTTCTCTGTTTCCCTTCTGCCTTCTGGCTTCCGCCTCTAAGCCGTGATGGGAGAAAGTCTCGCGCACTAAGCAGGCCCCGGTCCGTCCCAACCCGTCTCCCGGCCTACCGGCCTACCGGCCTCGACAATCCGGGCAGAAACATCTCGACGACTTGCAACATCCGCTAGCACGAAATGTACCTAGCGCGAGATTTGCAAAAGTGCCAAATTGCGACGCGCTTTCTTGGCTGAGAGCCGCCACGCCAAAACATTATTGAAACGGCATATAATGGGTCCTTGTTTCTCTCGCTTATTGAACGTTGTCTTATTGCTTTTTTTTTTTTTTTTTTTTTTTTTTTTTTTTTTTTTTAGTTTAATTAAAGAAAATAAAAAGCTTGAGAGTAGGGGCGTGGGGGATGGGGTTGGTTAGGTGAAATAAAAGTGTGGGGTATTTTTTGAAA